CTAATTACCTTCCAGGATTGCTCACAACTTTTGTGTCCAGTTCTTTTCACTCTATATTGTCTTTATTTCTTTATTTCTTTATTTCTTTATTTCTTTATCCACCCTTTATTTCGTTATTTGTTTATTTGTTTATTTGTTTGTTTCTTTATTTGTTTATTTGTTTATTTGTTTATTTCTTTATCCACCCTTTATTTCGTTATTTGTTTATTTGTTTATTTGTTTGTTTCTTTATTTGTTTATTTGTTTATTTGTTTAATTCTTTATTTCTTTATTTCTTAATTGCCCTTTATTTCTTCTACAGTAATATGGGCGGTACGAGGACACCACTTTTTGGTCCCACTGATTTTCTGTCCCTTTTTTCTGTCTGTCTGTCTGTCTGTCTGTCTGTCTGTCTGTCTGTCTGTCTGTCTGTCTGTCTCTGTCTGTCTGTCTGTCTGTCTGTCTGTCTGTCTGTCTGTCTGTCTGTCTGTCTCTGTCTGTCTGTCTCTCTGACTTGCTGTTTTGTGTGTTTGCCAAATGACTGGCGATGTGCTTCTCTTTACTGAAACAAACAAACAACCAAGACAAGCAAACAAATAAACTTTCGTTATTCTTTTCTTCAGACAACAGAACCTATCATTTTCAAGCGGATGAGACCAAAGAAATGGAGGCGTGAGTTTTGCTGGTTTCTTCATTTCCCTCACTGTTACTAGTACAGTGTTATTCTGATGGGTGGTTGGAGGGTGTGACTGCTAGGTCCTATTTCTCTTCTTTGCATCTCTGGTTGTTTCTGTCTGTCTGTCTGTCTGTCTGTCTGTCTGTCTGTCTGTCTGTCTGTCTGTCTGTCTGTCTGTCCTCCCCCGCACTAAATGGCCATTATTGTGTTAATATGCTTCTCTGTACTCAAACAAACAAACAAACAAAATGTTTTCTGTCTGCAAGTTGGACTGGGTGGTTGGCGGGTGCTATGGTGTGGTTTGCTCCTTCTATCCTATCAAACATATATCGTCCTTATATCTCTTCCTTCTTTTTTTGTGTTTGTTACTCTCTTGTCACACCTCTAATCTTCTTCTTTCCTATCAAACATCTATCGTTCTTATATCCTCTTCTTCTTTTTTATATTTTTTACTCTCTTGTAACACCTCTAATCTTCTGGCGCTCATATGACCTTATGCAGTTGCGAGCGCCGTAAAACCTCTACTAAAACTAAACACCTCTAATCTCCAGCACTAAAAATGAAGCAAGACCCCCTCAGTCCTCTCTGCTCTTCCTACAATGATGTTGATGATGTTCCGAATGAGTCGATTGTGTCATGACGCGGTGGAAGAATCAGACGCTTGTCAATTTTTGGGCATTTGGAGTTACTGATATCTCCTTAAAATCTTGTTCAGTTGCCTCGCTGTCGATGAAAAAAATACCTGTCTATCTTGAATATTAGTGGAGATATTTGCAGTTGAAGAATGTGGGGGTGAGAAAGTGTCCTCCAAAGTTTGGTAACTTTCATAGCTTGAGAGTTCTTGGAAACTGAAAATTTACAATTTGTGTCCCTTTGATAGATGTTTTTCAGTAAAATCCACACAGACATGTGTTTTTGATTTTACACACTTATGCAGTTGCGAGCGCCGTAAAACCTCTACTAAATCTAAACTAAATTGACACAAAAGATGATAAGCCAAAAACAAAAATTGGATAAAAACGGACATAACTGTGGGAAAATGCTGCTTTCTTCGATCTCATTATTTGACG